GGTTCCAGTTGTTGAGAATGAAGAAAATAAGCAAGTATATTATCTACCGCATCATGCTGTTGTTAAACCAAGTAGCTCTACCACTAAACTTCGTGTAGTATTTGACGGTTCATGTAAACCTAAAAAATTCAGTTTCTTTGAACTCTGTTTTAGGGGTAGGTGCAACACTACAAGATATATTTTCAATATTGCTCAACTTTCGTATACATAAAATAGCTTTTTCTGCTGACATAGAAAAAATGTACCGCCAGATTTTAGTAGATAATGAGGATCAACATTTACAAAGAATTGTTTGGAGAGAATCTGTTAATTCAAAAATGCAGACATATAAATTATGTACAGTTAGTTATGGCACTGCATCTGCACCATTTTTAGCAACACGCTGTTTGTGGCAAATTGCTTTGGATGCAGAACAGGATCATCCTCATGTATCCTCCGTTCTTAAAAATGATTTCTATGTAGATGATTGTTTATCTGGAGCAAACAGTTTAGAGGAAGCAGTTGACCTATGCTCTAAGCTTTCACAGCTATTACAGAAACGTGGATTTAATTTAAGGAAATGGAGATCAAACTGCTCAAAGCTTCTCGAAAATTTATCCATTGATAATCATGAAGAAGATGACCTGGAAGTTCACTCAGATGAATGTGCCAAGGCTTTAGGGCTGTTTTGGAACTCTACAGAAGACGTATTTTTATTTAACATTTCTATGGATTTTGGGACTGAAATTACTAAAAGAAGGTTCATTTCTCAATCTTCTAAAATCTTTGATCCTCTTGGCTTGCTATCACCATGTACAGTCAAGTTGAAAATGTTTTATCAGCAATTGTGGTTTTTAAAACTTGACTGGGATGCCCCACTGCCTAAAGAATGGGAAGAGAAGTTGCAGCGACTTCAAGAAGATCTTAAGGCTCTCAAAAATGTTAAAATTTCAAGGTGGCTTCAAACTACGTCTAACCACATCTATCTGCGTGGTTTTTGTGACGCGTCAGAATCTGCTTACGCTGCTATTATCTACTGTGTTCAACCAACATCTCACGACAGAAATGAAGTCAATTTGGTGTTTGCTAAAACCAAAGTTGCTCCCATTAAACAAGTGTCCATACCTAGACTGGAACTCCTAGGTGCATTGCTCCTTGCCAGATTAATCAAAGCTGTCCGTAAAGCCTTCTCCAGTACTGAAATTTCCTTTCACGCTTGGACTGACTCTAAGGTTGTTCTCTGTTGGTTAGCAGCTCATCCTCGAAAATGGAAGCTTTTGTGGCAAACAGGACTTCAGAAATATTAGATGCTATTCCCTATCAACAGTGGAGCTATATTTCGTCGAAACAGAATCCTGCCGATCTTCCTTCTAGAGGAATCGATCCTAAAGTTCTACCGAACATATCCCTATGGTGGCATGGGCCATCATTCTTAGCGTTCGACAGTTCAAAGTGGCCTCTACAATGTTCTGTCAGTAATGAGACTAACAGTGATGCAACTGTCTTAACTGAACAAAGGACAAAATCAATTTTTTGTACAACAGCTTATTTGACTAATGACACTCTGGACAATTTATTTCAGAACTGTTCTTCTTTATCTAAAATAGTTAATGTAATTTCCTTTTGTTTAAGATTTATTTCTAGGTGCAAAGAACTGGTCTTTGGTTCTGAAGATAATAGGTTAAAAGGTCCTGCAGTAGTACCTTCATCTAATGAAAGGCAAGCAGCTATGAAGTTGATCATTAAATGGATCCAGTATGTGCACTTCCATAAAGATATAAAGGATCTCAAAAATAATTCATCTTTAAGTCCTAAAAGTGTTTTAAACTCAGTTTTTCCTTTTCTAGATGATGATGGTGTTTTACGGGTGGGAGGTAGGCTGCAAAATTCTGACTTGTCATTCAATGCTAAGCATCCCATAATTATACCAGGTCAACACAGGATTGCTTTGTTGCTTGTTAAACAATATCATGTAACTTATATGCATGCAGGGCCCAGTGTACTAACTAACATTTTAAAGCAAAGCTATTGGATTGTAAATGGTAAGAAACTTATTCAGTCTTTTATCCATAAATGTATTGTTTGTCACAGATATAAATTGTCATCTAATAATCAGTTAATGGGAAAATTTCCAAAACAAAGAGTAACACTTGAGAGACCATTTTTTAGCACAGGTATTAATTATGCCGGTCCTGTAATTTTGAAATGTTACAAAGGTCGTTGCTTTAAGACCACTAAAGGTTATATAGCTTTGTTTGTATGTCTAGCTACCAAAGCTTACCATATTGAGGTAGTTAGCGACTTAACTTGCAGATTCTTTCATTGCTGCTCTTAGGCGATTTGTATCGAGGCGTGGTACACCTCGATACTTATTTTCGGATAATGGTACGAACTTTGTTGGCGCAAAAAGAAAATTGTCCGAATTGCAAACTCTGCTACTTTCACTTGAATTGCAAACTCTGCTACTTTCACAGCAATGAATTGATTTTAAATTATTTGGCTGAAAATACTATGGAATGTAAAATGATTCCACCTGCTTCTCCCCACTTTGGTGGTTTGTGGGCATCAGGGATCAAGTCCAAAAATTTCATTTGAAAAGAATGATAGGAGAGACAAGTTAACATTTGAAGAATTAACTACTTTACTAACTCAAATTGAAGCTGTGTTAAATTCACGCCCCTTATCTAAAACTAATCACAATGATGTAGGTAATTTAGATGCTTTGACTCCATCACATTTTTTAACTGGGGATGTTCTTACTAGCATCCCAGAACAGGATTTTTCTAATATTCCCAAACCCACTTTATTAAAACGATGGGAATTATTACAGCAAATGAAACAAGGCTTTTGGAAGAGATATTATAAGGAGTATTCAAATTCCTTACAACAAAGATACAAATGGAAGCAACAACTTCCAAATTTGTCTGTAGGTGATATTGTATTAATTAAGGAGGACAACATGCCTCCTGGTGTTTGGCCTTTAGGTCGCATTGGTGAAATCCATCCAGGAAAGGATGGCATTGTTAGAGTTGTTACAGTAAAAACTGTTCATGGTTATTTTAAAAGACCTATAGTAAAACTTTTACCATTGCCATTGCATCGGGAATGATCTATTGTTAATGCAATGGCAAGGGTGGGAGTTAATGTTGGATGCATATTTAATATTTGCATTTCTTTTTTTCTTTGTATATTTTATTTCCTCACTGCTTAATTTTATGTTATGATTTTTGCAATAATCTTGTTACTGGCAACGTGCTTTATTTACTATTAAGTTTGTGTGAGTGGCAACAGTTGTTCATGTTTATGTTCCAGAATAGTTCTTAGCCGCACTGCACTGCAGGCAATTTTTCTCTTAAATATTTCATCTTTTAGAATAGCAATAAAGTTTATTATACAAAGCTGATGCTTTTTAGTTCAAGGCAACTATATGTAGATGTGTAAGAAATCGGAATTATGGAATTACAAGATAATAAGAGTATCATAATATCACACATGTCAAACTTGGATTACAAGTGGCTCATGTATTGCAAATGTACATGGTTTCCATTTGATTTGCATTTTACCTTGGGAGGTGAGGTATAATAAGATATAATATTAACTTGTTTTCACGTAGATTCTCTCTTTTTGTTTTATTTATTTATTTATTTTTTATCCAATGGAGGGCACTTGCCTATTCAGCACTGGCCATTTTATTGGGGAGGCGCTTAATAGGCAGCCGCTGTTCCTATGAAGGGGGACGGACAATTACAATCATGCCTTCTCCGGGCCGTTTGGTACCGCACTAGGCTTCCCTAACCAAAGAATAGTATTGCCCTAACCACTATACCGTCTGGTCGGCTGCTGCCTATTTCTAAACATATCCACCATCATTTGGTAAATTGTGCTTTATCTAAACTCGAATTTTGGAAGATTGTTAAATGGCGATACATTTTATATTTCACCGAAGCCTTTATTTTTCATAGCGTGCAATTTGACATCATTTACATCTTTCAGTAATAAAAAATACATCAAATTCAGTAATCGTTGATTTTCGCGTAAAACCAGCAAATAAAATTGTTCTCAAAAATAAATTCGGCAGTGCTGATTCGCCAAACTTTGATTGCGGCACTCATCATTGGATTTTAATTTATAGCATTCAGTTCATGCACTGAACAGCTTTTAATCTGAACATGGAAGCTAAAAATGCAGAATTTGGGCTGTGTTTTATGAACACTCTGTATAAATGGTAGATGTTCAAGCACCCTGAATGCTGGACTGGATAAGACTTCCTGAACATTCTTATATTATTATTCTAATATAATTCCTGAATATTCTAATTTATCATTGCTGGACTGGATAAGACTTCCTGAACATTCTAATACATCCAAGGTTCAGGACCCATAAAGAGTCAGGCTGTACATTTGGACCCGTGAGCAGTCAGGTGTAAGGAGCTTTCATGGTTTCCCTAAAAGTCAAGTCAATACGAATCATGTTCCATTATAAAATCTTTCAGTAAATCTCTTTAAGCAGACAATCTTTAGATTCGTTGCAATAGTCAACTAACATATGATGTCTGGTATTATTGTGAATTCAGATGTATTATTAAGATACAACAATTATAAGCATTACATTGAAAGGTAATAAGAAAGAAAACAATGATAAATTTAGTTTTGAGTTATTTGTGGATTTCGAGATGTGTTGAGATGTATGTTATTTCTAACTTTGCTACACCGAAATTTTAACGAAACAAATTATTTTTATTTATGAAAAAAATGTAACATCAAATATTAAACTATAAGAAAGATTTGTATGAAATTAAAAAAAATTAACTGATTATTTCTTCATACACTGAAATTAGAGATATCATTCAGCAGTGAAATGCTCTAGTTACCTGTTCCTTTTTATATGAAGAAGTTCAATATGCTATTTTAAAAGGAACTTAAATAAATTGTAATGAATTAATAGGTTGGATGAAACAATGTAAAGTAAATAATAACTTTCTTTAGAAATATCACCTTGAAAGAAAAAACACTAATACTCACAGATCTCTAAGTGTTGCTGCATAATTTTTCAAAGAATCATTTCTGAGCACTTTAATTCCCACTGATGTCAAAGTTCTGCAAGAAGAAAAAAAAATCTTTATAGCTTTCTCAGAGCTTGTTAAATGTAAGCCACATTCCAAAATATAAATAATTTATAATTAATTTTAAAAAATGATTTATGATAATGTAATAAGAAAGTATTTCACATTCCGTGCCCACAAAAATCACACTTCTGGTTCCAGTTAGACATATACAGTATGAAGTTAGTTCCATGTTTTTGGAAATTGCGTAGAGTAATTACATATCTCTCCATTAGAAATTATGCATTGGTTCTGAATCTTTATTTTGAGATAAGTATCTGAAAAATGTACCTATATAAGGTGCTTCAGAAATTCGTAAATATTTCAAAATTATATAAAAATTAAAAAAAAAAAAAATGGACGTAATGAAATGCATTTTACATGAAGACGTAGGGCGCGAAGTATGTTTAGTAGATAAATATTTAGTTAAATATTTTACGGATAGAGAACTTAGTACGGTGTATCACCATCAAGTTAGCAGTTATAAATAATTTATTCACTTAATGCAAATCATTTACGCATGCAAAAATCTCTTATATATTACATAATTAAATGTTCGCTTGATGTTTTCTTTTTAAAGGCCTCGTTTACTTTAACTATTCAATAAGGTCTCAAGTGTTAGTGTGTCGTTGTTGTGACTTATCTCACTTGTCTGGTAGTAGCCTCACCACAAGCCTATGAAATTCGTCGTGGCAAGGAGTGCAAGATTCCACCTGTCTTTGCCAAAAGCCTTGAGCACCATACAGGCAAAGGTACGACTTTGCTCAGCTCCTTCCCCAATTCTGATAGCGGGTACCCTACCGCTCCTACCACCAAACTCTCGAAAGGACTTTCGGCTCGCCGCATTAGACTATCCGTTTGGAGCATGGACATTATACATTTACAAACATATATGCCTTCTCCAGAATTCGAACCCGGGCCATTCGGTACCGCAATCAGCGTCGCTATCCACTATCCCAGTTGAGCGGCATTATTGTGATCATTATTAACAATATAGAAAATCCGAATAATATATTAGCAACAACCATTTTCTCGAAGAGGAAAAACTTTTGATTCATTTCTGTGCAAATTATACTCTGTTATATACATTCGAAAATATTTTATGAATTTTTCGAATCATTACAAACATTTTTGCCTAACCTCTATTTAGATGTATTATACATTATGAAAACAAATATCCGGAGCTAAGGTACAATATAAAATATTCAGTGTTAGGCATATAATTTACACTTGCAAATAGAAGAGAACGGCAATGAGAAACGAAACATACTCAATAGCAATAAACCCGAATACATTACCCCAAATATCTTTCATAATCATTTCCTCTGTTCTAAAAAGTACTCTTTGAAAGAATGAAAATTAAATGATTTGCTACAGATGTTTTCGACATTATTTCTGTATTGATCTCTTATCCAGAGCAGGGTCTAGAAATTGAAACGCTCGTCCTGCATCCGATCCAAGTTTCTGACCCAGGTAAGTGACGTGACTCTACCTTCTCGCAAGGCCGAAAGGACAGCAAATCTGTCATTACGAGCTGTAATGGTCCGGGCCCGATAAGGCTAATCTAAAACTCTTACAACCACTCACTTATTCACTAATCCAAAACTACAAACTCAAACAACCAGTGCTAAGTTTCAACTTCAAAGTTTCTATCAAATAAAACGCTTCAGCATTTTTTATTTTAAAAATAGATACATCATCTGCATCACTACTGGCCGTTGTCTCCCACGAATTTCTTCTTCAGATAATAATATTATGTCAGATTTATTCTTTTCCAGTTTACTTTTTGTGGATTTAACTTTTGATTTCAGCGAGTGTTATGAGCATTTTTATAACATTACTCTTCTCCTCTTACTTTATCGTTCTGGGTACTTAGGCTTTTTTTAAGTTAAAAAATTCTCTGTCACTTATTTTTGTAATGTTCTGTCTCTGCTTTTGATCTTATTGCAGATTGCTTTTAAGTTATTGTTCTTTATAGTCTCTCTTTGTCTGAGTTTATAAATTTACATTCGACCATTTTAAGTGGATTGGGTATCTCAAAATTGTTGAGACCCTTTTGGATGATTGTCCCATTATGGTAACGTTATATAAGAAGTTGAGACTGATTGACCCCATTAGATTTTGTTCGTACTTCTTTTGTTTATGAAGAGAAACCTTGCATTTAATTTTTCTATGGAAATTTTTCTTCCTGAAAATATACTGATTCATCAGTTTCCGTTATATCGATTTTTATGTGATATCCCACGTGATAAACATGAACTTTTCTTTCTTGTTTAGAATTACTTATCTTGCTAGATATTCATTAAGACTGTTATTTATTACAGTTCTTTGAAGAAAGCGAGCATTGGTTCCCTAGACTGTTACCAAGCAGTTTTAAAACTCGTTTTAGTATTTTGTGTTATTAGGATTTTTAATGCCTACATGCTACATAGATAATGAAAGAAAATGGCTTCGGATTGATTGCTTATATTATCAGGGTCTATGTTCCTTCTAACCTTCTTCGGGAACATGCAAGGACCTGACTCGGAACAGAGAGCTTACTAAAGCTATGTTCAAAACTGTGGGAAGTAAACAGGATACACAAGAAGGGTATACAAAACCCTTTATTTTCTCTATTTACAATGACTTCCGTACTTCGGAATACACCGACCCGCTACTTGGGGTCAAAAACGTAAAAGTAAAAATAAAACTAAACTCTAATTTAACTTTAGAATAATAAACGTGGAAGATTGGCCTTATATTAACAGGAGGCGTATGTAGTACAGAGAACTGTGAACACTACAATACGTTTAAATTTATCAAGAGGATTAAAACCTCTGGCCTGGAAGGCAAACAGCAACTGCGTAACTTCTAAGGTAAGCGGCCTGCTTCGACTCACTGCTTCCTCTCTCTCTCTTGGCAAAAAGCCACAACTTAAATACTTGGCGTTCGCCAGACAAACTTTGCATAAAAACCTTAACGCTTATAATTCTGGCCGGAAGTAGAAAATAAGAAGTGATAGTAAAGATTTAAAATAAAATAAACGTTAGTAAAACTTAAGATCCTTACAATATATTTAAATCTTTAAAAAACGGTTTCAAAATTGTAAAATTAAGTGGTTCATCGATGCGTTATTAACTCACTAATCATATCAAGATCTCGCGCTCTTACTATAATTTATTTTTATAGTTTAAGTATCTAAAAACAAAGGTTGGTTTATTTAATTATGGCAAAGCTATTGGAGGCTATCTTCCTAAGGGGAAAGGATTTTTTCCCCAATGATGGGCATTTGCCTATGACGGGATTGGCCGCTACTATGGCTAGAAGTGGTGGCCATTTTATTGTAGAGGCACCTAATAGGCGGCCACCATTACCTCCTACGAAGACCAGATAATTTTACATCCATGCTTTCTCTGGGATTCGAACTCGGGGGCTTTGGTATCGTAGTCAGGCTCCCTTAGCCACTATACCGTCTGGACGGCTGAGGATGTTTTCGGGGAAGACGTACTTAGAGAAGCTGGCTCGTATACACGTTAAATGTGGAGAAAACTACGAAAAAGCCCATGAAGCCAGCTTGGATTTGAACCACGGGCCGAAATTAATGAAAGTTTACATTTAAAACACATTGGTCAAATGTAAAAGAAAATAAAATTCTCAGTCCAATAGATGTAAACATTTGTTAAAAATTTATAGGCTTAGTATTTTAGTATTTAACATCTAATCTAACCGTAATGTCTCGTTTCAATCTTTACCCATTTTGAGGTAAAAAATAAAAATTAAAATACTTAGGCCTTTCTTTCATTCTGTAGATATCTAGCAAACAAAACAACAAAATCTAGAAACGACAATCTAGAAAACAACAAAAACCATACCATTTAAAACTTTTTATTTCCCCTCCCTTCGTAATAATTGATGGCTAAACGTCAGAAACTAGCAGGTGTTCAATGAAAGAGGTTGACAGAAAGGGTGTTAGGACATTAGGTATCAACGTCAGTGACACTGAAATTATATCTAAACAAGATCTGAAGATGAAATGTAGCGGGGGACAGCATCACTGTGACTTCACTGCATACATATTTCATAGAAACATCCTATCGCGTTTTCATTTTAAAGTGAAACCTGAATGGAAAGTCTGAAATGCGAATCACTTTTACCTATCCCATAATAAGTAAAGTTTTATTATGCATTCCGTCGTGCAAAAGGGATGCTACGCAGACACACCATTCGTGTTCTTCCCACTGGGAGAGGGAAGGATAAGAGATAGTCAAAATCATTTCGGAGAGAGGAATCAACAAATTCGCTTGCTACGAACGGAGTCTAAATCCAGGGACGTTGACTTTAAATTGGATCTTTCTTTAGCCTCGTCTTACAGCGGGACACTGAGACCGTGAAGAAGGGAGGTAACTATGACTCCGTGTTATCCGTATTACTAAGTGCCGTGTTCTCCAGGAACTGGCCACGCTAAACGAGGAACATTTAAGAAAGACCAGAACATTGAAGGTGCATGAGGACTGCTGAGACTACCAGGAACACTTTTCAATTTTACGGTCCATGTTAGGATTACAGATATATTAAGGATATGTTATAGATTCAGCTACAGATGTAAAGATTAACAAATACATTACAAATTGCGGAATACATTAAATGAGTTCTGGATTAACCAGGGAAACACTGCCATCCTATTACTTGTTCTATCCTACTACCTCTTGTCTTTTTACCAGTTACTAGCCCATCCCTTAGGCATATAGCCCTAGTGTGCTTTGCCGTATTCTCGACAAGGTAGGCGCGGCATTTATCGCCCTCCACAACAATGAACCACTCTACAAAGCAGCAAGACGCTTGAGCGACCACGCTACTGTTTTTCAAGCAGAGTCAAGAGCCCTTAAAGACGCAGCCCTCTGTGCAGGACAATTCAGTTCGTTGGACATTCATTTCTATACTGACAGTATGAGTGTGCTTCAATGCCTAAACAAGTCTGGGGTTATCCCAGTCCACATAGAAGCGCTCAAA